CTCAGCCACTTTGCTCTTCCCTTTAAGAGGGATTCAGCCACTGACTTGGAGCACAGAACAAAGAGAGAGGCTGAGGGCGAGGCAGGGAGGCCAGGGGAGCAGGACTGAGCTTCTGATAGCCTTCCTCAGTCCTGTAGCCTGGACCTAGCAAGTCCCTAGGGACCAACTGGGCTGAGCCCTGTCCCGGGCAGGACTGGCCAGGGATCGGTCACTTGGGCTCAGCCAGGATCAGACCTGTTCCAGAAGGAATCTTGGGAACCCAAGTAGCCCACAGGTGGGCATGGCCAGGGGGAGGTGCGGGGAGGTGGGGTGTAGTGGGGCCCAGTCCCATGCTAGCAATTCAGCTTCCCTCTGCAGACCAGAGCCTCCTTTCCCCTGATATGGGGGGCTGCATTCACCCTAGGCAGCGCTTGAGTCAGCCCACAGAAGAGAGAGGGAGGGAGCAGCCTCCTACCTGCCAGGGCCTTCCTCTGTGGCAGAGTGCTTCTGAAGCACTGATCAAAGACCTGTGAGAAGTGGGAAGGAGGGCTCTCCAGCTCTGTGGCTCCCTGGGGCTGTGTGAGTGTGTCTCCTGTAACCAAGCAACCGGGGCACAGGCCCCCAGGCCTTCTGCCCCCATGCTGCAGGCTGCAGGGAGCCCTACCTGGCAGGCTGTCTTCATCCCTCTGTCCTTCCAGCCTCCATCCCTCCGTCCATTCATTCACTGTCCCATCACATGCTCATTCACTTGTCTAGCAGAGCCCTGTTAACCAGACTCCAGGGATATGAGAAAGGATTCTGAGAATGAAATACTGGCTCTGCCTTAATGGAGCTCCACACCTGGAGTGGAGGGCTGCGGTGAGTTAGGTGGACAGGCCAGGGACTGACCCAGGGTCATAGATCCACAGGCGAGACATGCCTCCTAAGGTCCCAGACAGAAGCTGGAAATGGCCTGCCTCTGAGTGACTTCTTGGGCCTATCCCCCAGTGCCTAGTGACCCTGCAAGCTGAGGCAGGTGATGAACCCAGCTCAGAGCAGGCCTGGCAGTAATGCCCAGAGCTGTGGCCCAGTTTTTCCGCTCAGGGTTGCCCTTCAGTCTCTGCCTGTGCAAGAGGCACCAGAGATGCCTGAGGAACAGGCCCTGCCAGGCTTTCGGGGTGCCCGCGTGATGGGGTAGGTAGACCAGTCACAGGCTTTGGGCTAGAGGCGGGGTCGTGGAAGGAAGTCAGCAGCTCACGCAGGTGACTGAGGCCACCCCCTATAGAGTCTGATAAAGGCCAGTTTGTCCCTATCCCAGAGGATGGTCAGGCCCCCGTTTTGTGCCCTTTGGGCGGAGTCCAGGAAGCTTTCGAGAATTTAGATGGTTTAAGCATGGGGCATTGCCAATGGTGAGGATGAGGAAGGAACCGCACGGGGAAGGGCACCGCGCCAGCCCTGGGCCTCAGCTCTGCCGTTTATCTCCGAAAGCCTCTGGTTCCCCAGCCAGGCAGGGGAAATAACCCTGGTCCCTTACACTCCAGAATTGGAAAGAGAATGAAAAGGGAGGGTGGTGAAAACCCCTGGAGACCAGACTGGGGGTTGCCAACCTTGAGTCCCCGACCCCCAGCCCTGGGAACAGGGTTGCAGGAGTATACAGGCTGGCAGGGGCAAGTCTAATCCCTGTCCCTAGGAGGGTCTCTGTTGTGGCTGGTGTTGGCTAGAACGTCGTGTGCATGGGCCACAAGTATCAGCTCTGTGTATTAAATACCGGTTCCACCATTTCTTAGCTGTTACTTCACTTTTTGGTATCTCTGTGTCCCCACCTGTAAAATGGGGATGATAACAGAACTGACCATAGGAGTGCCCCAGAATGTGGTAAACTTATCTTTATCCCTCCATCCTTCCACCTCTCCTCCCTCCGTCCGCTCGTTCACTGTCCCATCACACGGATGAAATGTGAACCTTGGAGCTGTGCTTGCGTGAACGCTGGCTCAGGAGAGCGCCCTTGTGGGGCAGCCTTGCAGAGCCCACTGACAAATGACTGCCTTTTTGACTTGAGGAGAGGGCCTCTCCCTCCAGATGTCGCTGTTGGTGCCTCCTCTGCCCAGGTCTTCTCCAGGGCTGGGGCTCTAGGGAAGGTTGCATGGCACTGCCCCCGGCGGCAGACTTGGGTAATTGCAGGGCCGGGTTGGCTGGGGTGGGAGTGGTCCAGGCAGACCTGATCCCCCATCATCTTTTTTGGGGGAGAGATTTTTGCTATAGGGTGTGTGCATGCCCCAGAAAGACAGAGACAGACAGATAGATAGAAAGCGAGAAATCGCCCCCCCCAGGGAGGATGGCCACGCCGCAATCCCTTCTCCTCCATTCTCCTCTTGGGATCTTGGGCACGCATGCACACGCGGCGCCCGGTGTGAGGTT